CAGTTGCAGATATACTACTGTTTACCCAGTTCAGGAAAGAAATACTTCCTCTACAATTATTATAGGTCATACTGATGAATGCTACTATGTATCAACCACTGCCTTGCAATCAAGTGCCTCCATTTCAATGTGCAATGAATTAACAAATGATACTCAGTCATCAATAAATAAGCATTTTATTATGTCTATATATAACACTGGATGACATTTTTTACAGTGCAAGACAACAATTAATGACCACAAAGATCTATTTCAAAAATGTCTTATGTCTGTTATCATTTCAAATTCACAGTGTTTTAGCAAAAAATAGATGAATGTGATTAATAAATCTCAATGATAAACCTGATGATAACGTACTTGAGAAAATGTGAAATTGTGATAATTCTGTAACAAACTTCTTTGCAAACTTTGTCATTACCATTCAACCCAAAACTGTCAGTGATTTTTGCTTTTTCACTCAAACTTAAAAACAAATGAAAACCTTATACAGATCACACTTATTGACACCACAGTGTTACTAAAAACACTACTATAACACAGACCGTTAGCTGTAATAACACTGAACAAACTTCGAACAACATACTCCTTTCTCATGCATTTTGTTGCTTTTCTTCTGCATGAGGTAATTCAGACGAAGTATTAGCCTCCACAGAGGAGGGAGGAGGGGTGCGAGAGGTAAACTATATCTATGCAATCCCGTGTCCCACTGGACCCCGGGAAGTTCCACGTAGTGGTTCTAGTTTAGAGTTCGTTAGAAAAGATAGAAAACGCGGGCAGTCATGCCATGAATATGGGTCATTTTGTTCGAGGCAAGCACGCGTCAAGATGATCCTAAAAACGGAAAGGAAACTTGAATTGGGTCGACATTGAGACATACTTCAAAGCGATCGCTCAACATGTGAAAAATGAACGGAGTGACCTCTGAGCGAGTCACTCGTCGATGAAGGAATATTCAATAAAGACAAGGGCATAAAGATGCAAAGCCTTGACTTCAAAAGAACGATTTTGGAACCGAAAAGTACATCCACATCATCCATCATGTTCTTCACCTCGCAGGAGTCAAAATTCAAGTGACCTGTATGTAATTACATTCCAAGCAAGAATCCCAGCTCTCAGCTGAAATATGGTAAGTAACAAATATCAGCTAAATTAAAGAATACAGCCGGCCACTTACTATTATAGCCACATTATAGAATAACACGAGAATCTATGGTTATTTCATTGTTCAATTGATCTGATTGATACTTCATTTTGTACGATTCACCGAACATTAAGCATCGAGCAACCAACCTGTTGTAGCTAACTGTGATATTCAGTAAGTCCGCTTTTGACCCGTTGCGGTGTCACTGACTCCACCGAACTAGTACATTCCAACTTCATTTCTCAGGGCAGTTATGAAATAAAAGGTTCATCCATTTCATTTACTTGCAGCTTCTAACCTCGTGAAGAAACATCTGGATAAAGACCTGTTTTCGCTTTTCATTTCTTGCCTGGTATCGTACATAACTTCATTCAGTATTTAGGCAATCAAAGCAAAAGCACGACGAAAGATGTTTCATTCTTTCAAATAATTGACAAAGAAGGCTATTTTTTTTGCCAAATTTCACTTTAGAACATCAAGTTTAACTTTAGAACGTGTTATTTGTTTAGCCATACATTTTTAAAACTGTTCCAGAAATTTCCGAAGCATTTGTTTAGCCATCCATTTAAACTCACTGTTTCAGAAATTTCTGAAGCATTTGTTTAGCCGTACATTTAAACTGCTTCAGAAATTTCTGAAGCATATTTTAGCCATACGTTAAAACTGTTCCCGAAATTTCCGAAGCATTTGTTTAGCCATACATTTAAACTGTTTCACAATTATCTGAAGCATTTATTTAGCCGTACATTTTAACTGTTTCCGAAATTTCCCAAGCATCTTTTTAACCACCATTATTTTCAACTGATTTTCTTTGATGAACAGTTCTTTAGCCTTTCTTGTCGTATTTGAATTACCAAAGTGGGTTTTCAGACGCAAAAAATAGTCTTCTGCCCAAAAACGTGCTTCAAGCAATTATTTCTGTCGAAGTAATTCAGCTGAAAAGTATGAAAAAGGTGCTATATGTTCTACTTCTTGCCGACCCTTCTGAAAATAATAAAAGGAGGTAATTTTTGTACGAATGTAAAAAAGACTACTTTGCACGAAATTAAACGATTTCTTTCCGACAGGGACCCGCTCGGAAAAAAATATTGATTAAAAGCAATAAATCAGCCGGATTTTATGATAATTTCGGATAAAAATTAACAATAATGGCCATTTTCAGCTGATTTTTTCGCTTTAGAAAATCGCACTTAACTTTAGAACGTGTTTGCACTCGTCAACGTCTAAAAAAAAACAAAAATATTGGAGTTCCACAAGGATCTATCGTAGGCTCCTTGCTAACAAAATGAAATCAAATAATAAAAATAACAATAATGAATTGATAATTAAAATATTCAACCTTGTTCGATCCCCGTTGAAAACAGTCTGAATTTCCTTAACAAAGAACAAAAACGTCTTATAGCTTTCTTCTTCTTTGCCATCGAGTTGTCCACGCCTGAACTCACCAACGTTTTTTATACATCTCTCATAATTCTTCCAAAGTAGAGTTTATCTATATAGCCTGTACCAAAAAATTCTTATTATGCGCGGCCTTTTAAAGAATTTGTATACACTTACATTTACCCAAAAAGTTTCTAATATATAGATTTAGCCAGGGCTAAAAAGCGAAGCTCCCATTAATAAATATATAAATTAAATCAAACAATAATCTTGTAATCCACAAATGAGTTAACTAAAGGACACATTCATGTGGCTTTTGAGGGAAAAGCTAAGTGATTTTAGAGTGAAACATCTCACATGGAATTGATTTATATGAGCCACCCAAAAAATAGTAATCATCTTCGATAACATCCAAGAGCCATAAGGGCTCTTGATCACAATAGATTAGGCCTGGAAAACAAATCAGGCCGAATCTTTTGCGTTCGATAAGTTTACTTTACAAAATCTTGCCAACAAATCTGGAGGTGTGTAAACCAGCCTTTTATACTTTTTATACATCACATCTGAGGTGAAACAGTACTATGAGGCGCTGTATTTATCATACAGACCTCGGACAGAATGCAGTATTTCACTGTTTTTCAAGACAAATTGCACTCAGTCAATATTCAGGACGATCAATCGTTGGCTTTTGGCGAAACCGTTCAAAAAATTTCCAAAATCACCTATACGGCCAGCCGGTTCACACTTTTGACAAGCGGTCGAGTGTGTGAATGAACATTAATAGAGTTACGCTTCAACATAATAACGAATTTATTATTAATTTTTTTTTTTATTTATTTAATGACTTTATAACGATGTGTAATCTTGAAAAGCGTTTGATACGCGCAACATTTTGAGTACTCCTGCAAGCGATGTTCATGAAACGGACCGAAAACAAACGGCAAAGCGATTCAAATTGCAAAAGAGATTTCTAACAATCAATAAAAGAAATATATCGGTGAAACATTTAAAGAGACAGCAATTTTCATTCACGAAGACAAGCATTAAAGTGTCTCTAAAAATCCTGAGTCTTTAAGTTTATGTTTTAAGCCGGCTTCCCGGTGTTTGCTTTTTTCAAAGATGAACTCGAGGCAAGAAAATCGCTCAAAGTTTTCTTTCTACAGGCAAATTTATAACTAAATATTCTTCGGAACGTTTTCTTTCTATTTGCGGTGAGAAAATGTATCTAAAGGCTTTTTAAAGTTCTGTAAGCTTATATCAAACCTGATACTAGGTCAGATTATTGTCTCAAATCTTATAAACGTGCATAATTAACTTGCCGCATAAACTGTGCTCGACTTCATGAGGCCTCTAATAACTATGATGAGGATAGATATAAAAAAACAAACATCAGATACAATAATCATTCAGGCTTACCATTCGAGATGCAGCTCCTGAAAGCTATCAAGTAAGGCCGGAATCGCTTGAGACTTTTAAACTCCTCTTGCGTATCAAGCAAGGTGAAAAACGAAAACGAATTGCCATCCGAAATCGGATTTCCGACTTTGACAAGCGACGCATTTCTCAACCAAAAACCCAATAAACAAACCAGCCATGAATGACAGAAGTTCTAGAGACCACTCGGCCGGATGAGGAAAAGATAATTTCAAATAACAATGAATTAACCGCCACAAACATTCCATTTCCATTTTTGCTCGTTATATCATTTAATCCTTTGTAGAAAAGTCAAAAATTCAGAATGGGATTTCTTCCTTTTAATTTTCTTTCACCGTGACTTTAACAGTGGAGTGACACCCCGCCCCCCTCCCCATCCGTCATTCACTCCTCTTCAAAAGTGCTATACATCTGAAAAGCTCCAAAGGCAGTGATTTTAACATTCATGCAGCCGTCGACCAGTTCCCTTGTTTCACATTCCTCAAAAAAAGGAGGATGAGTCAGTTTTAGACAATCGCTCCTCTAAAAAATGACGCTCAGAATGATCTTCGCTTGCTGGTCCAAGAGGTCATATTTGGCTTTTAAATCCTGGGCCTTCTAACAACCGGTAGGGGCTGATAAGCTTACGAAAGAGTTGGTAAATCCCGAGGACAAGTCGTTAAATTAGGCAATCAAAGATTGAGTCCAGGTGATTACTTATACTACCACAGCAGATTTCGTGTGCAGTTGTTGTGTGGAGTGGAATCATCATGAACTCCCATATACTGATCAACTGGAACTTTCTAATCACGGCTGTAACTTTTTCCTTTCTTTTCTCTCTTTCCTCTCTCTCTCCTCCTCCCCTCTCCATATTTGGAAAGGCATTTAATAACCTTAAGTCATTCAATCTCGAGGGTTGTTTTTAAATACACCACGTAGAGAATGTTAAACACAGAATGTCCCATGAGAACTTCACCTGTTGTGTCAGGCATTCTCGTTACGAACAGAAAAGTCAACAACTATCAAACAAGATGTTTGTTTTAACCACTTTAATTTTATTTATCTCAGCGCTAATAGCAGTTTATTAATTAATGACAAAATGAGGGTAGATCACCATAAGCGCGTTTGATCCCATGACCCATTTCTCGGTAAGCCTTAGACCCCGCGTAGACCGAATAGACTACCGATAAAAGAAGAAGGACGAAAATAGGCCTCTTCATGACCGGTCACCTCTGGAACTTTGAGTGGCTGATATTCGATAACAACTGTACTATACAATGTTGGCCCGTTTGGTGTTTGGAAGAGGACAGAACGTATTTATTATTAAGAAACAGGATAGTGTAATTGTTAGGTTTTGAAGTGTGAGTGTCCGGTCAAATATTGAAGTTAGTTTATTTGGCATTGCTGTTGTTTGATTCTTAAGTCATGGTAAAACTTGCTTTCTACCGTGAACTTCCCCGTTTTCTCATCGTCTTTATACAGTATAATAGCAAAGCGTCCCTTATCAGCATTTTTTCAAACCCATCAGCTGCAGATCAAGGAATTAACCTATCGTTCCTTAAAAGTGATAGGATAAGTTACCAAACGCTGGTTGTCCCAGGCGTACAGCACTCTTTCTCTGGGGTTATAGGCCACCATGGAGTTGTAGCCGAACTGATTGGTGAACTGAATATTGGGGTTCCATTGATTTCCAGTCTTGGTGTCGTAAGCAAAGTTGATGGTCGTGGACTCTGAATGATAGTCGTCGATACAGTAAACCACTCCACAGGCCACAAATGCATTTCCCATTGAGTTCATAACTTCTGCAAAATAACATTAAATGGAAACTCGGAGTAAGATTAAAAAAAAAAAAAACGTATATGCCCACTTATAGTATAAAAACTCATTCAACTAAGTAACGAAATTGCGAAGTTTGCGAAATTAAATAATATTCAGTTTAAAAACAATGGATGCGCATTTGATTGAGGAAAGGATGATGACGACCGTTTGTTAACTGACAGGTTATAGCAATGGTTTAGTTTACTTATGGTGAATCTAACGAGTTCCAGAAACCCTTTACATTTCATGACATTTTGTATTTAGCTTAAGGAGCTCTAATAAGGCGTAAGCCGAGTACCTGAATTTAAGTTCCAAGCGAGGGTTAAGGATCCTTTGTGTACATCTATCATTTGCGCTCTTAGTTTGTTGCTGTTTCCACTGTAGCCCCATAAGGCCCACAATCCTTGTTCGTCAACCGCCAGATCAACTTGACTGTAGCCACCCCACTGGTAAGAGGTGACCCTCGCTGAACCCGACAAGCTTATCTGCTTTTCCACACCTTCAGTACGCAAATTGTACTTTACGATATAGTTCGTAGCCTCTCTGCCATAACAACAAATTGTTAGTATCAGTGGAGAATGTTTCTACCATGATTAATATAGCCAGGGACGGCGGAGCCGGTAGAGCTGGAGGGGCTTTAGCCCTCCCAATTTTAAGCAAATAATAAAAATTTAAAAATAAATAAAAAATTACAAATAATTTAAAAACCCATAAAACATAAAAAAGAAAACAAACAGAAGGAAAAACAAAACAAAATGAGCAAAACATTGAGACAAACACATTTAAGTAAGATTTAAGTGCTCATGCGGCGAGTCCCTTTACGGTTCTTTCAGGACGTTTTGAGGGAGGTCCAAGATCTGCAGCCAATCGAGCGACAGTTGATGGACCACGTCATTGTTGTTTGCAAGTTGATTTACGTCAATCCTGCGACAAGTGCAACAGGGGAGAGGTTCTTCTCAACAGCCGTCAACAGCCGACGTGGCTTCGATCAAGAATGTTGTAAGCACTTTTCAACCATCTCGCGATTTTGAACGCACATAAAGATAGATTTGATAAGCTTTGTTTTGCTTCTGCGGCAAATTCATTTGTATCCATGAACGAAAATCGTGAGAGGAATGTCGGCAAATTTACAACTGAAGTTGTTATTTTCCCTTTCTGTTACGGTACATGCATTGTTCCAGGAAATTGACTTCAATCAGCCTGTCAACTCAGTTCTTCTCATTTAGTGTTCTCACTACTCAGCTTGTGAATAAAAACGATAGACGACTAGGGACGAGTTAGGAAAATCGTATTTGTCAAAATCCGATTTGTCAAAAATTTGCAATTTGTTTTATACTTGAAATTTGTCATATTCTGTCAAGATTACTATCTTAATGTAACACAAGTGATTTTACACCACTAATTTTGAACATTCTCCCTCTTGCTACACACGTCGAGCGTTTGTAATAAAACAATTTAGTGTACGCACTAAGGCCGGAACATACGTAAGCCTGGGATATATGTAAGTTATATATGTATCCACGTTTATTTATTTATTTATTTTTTGATATCTCGTCGAGAATGCTAAAAGTAGCATTTCCTAGCTTCAAGATTTCAAACTTTTCTGGCCGAGAAATCCCCCAGAACCCTCTACAAGCTAGCGTCGCTGGCGCTTGCTTGTTAGCGCCCCCCCCCCGTCCCCCAATACAAAAGACGCTCCGCCGTCCCTGATAGCTGTGCATGTGTAGCCATCATGCCATGAGTTGCAATTAAGGAAGCCCTAGGATGCCCTACTATGAGATACTGCGTCAGTAAACTGGTATATCACCAAATTTTTATTATCAGCTCCCTGGAATTAAGTTTTAAAAAAATGGTCCACGCAGGTCTGAAACGACACCTTTGATTGATTTTTTTATATATATGCGACCTTTTAGTAATGATTATCTTTTAAACCCTTGTTTTTTCGTTGGCCATACTCTATAAGATTTAAAGAGTATTATAACGAGGAGCAACGGATTGCGCCGTGATGAGAGCGCTCGCCTCCCACCAATGTGGCCCGGGTTCAAATCCCGGCGTCGACGCCATATGTGGGTTGAGTTTGTTGTTGGTTCTCTCCTTTTCTCCGAGAGGTTTTTCTCGGGGTACTCCGGTTTTCCCCTCTCCTCAAACACCAGCATTTCCAAATTCCAGTTAAACCAGGAAGCCGGTAGACGAAGAACCACTTTGTGGATGTGCTACCTCCAAATCATTATTCATTTTATTTAAATATAAAGTTTTATACCTGTTGTAGTAAAGGTAAGGTCCATACACTACTCCTCCTGTTCCGTCCCAGTTATAAGGCAGTACGTACTTCTTACGAGCGATGCCTGTTTTGAACGTATCCATGTTTTCAAACTCTTCAAGCACTTTTCTCCCGCCGTAGCCCACCATAACGAATATGGTCTCAGGACCCATGATTCCTAGTGGATCTTTCATCCATGCTCCTTGAGTATAAGACCTAGAGTTGTGAATTACAGGCTTACCAACTGACTTGATGTGAGTGCAGCTATCTGCAAGAAATAGACAATGTGTGACTGATGATAGCGTCCTAACAGAATATCAAATAATATATAGATTTAGCCAGGGCTAAAAAGCGAAGCTCCCATTAATAAATATATATTTAAATCAAACAATAAACTTGAAATCCACAAATGAGTTAATTAAAGGGCACATTCATGTGGCTTTTGAGGGAAAAGCTAAGTGATTTTAGAGTGAAACATCTCACATGGAGTTGACTTATATGAACCACCCAAAAAATAGTAATCATCTTCGATAACATTCAAGAGCGATAACGGCTCTTGATCACAGTAGATTAGGCCTGGAAAACAAATCAGGCCGAATCTTTTGCGTTCGATAAGTTTACTTTACAAAATCTTGCCAACAAATCTGGAGGTGTGTAAACCAACCTTTTATACTTTTTATACATCACATCTAAGGTGAAACAGTACTATGAGGCGCTGTATTTATCATACAGACCTCGGACAGAATGCAGTATTTCACTGTTTTTCAAGACAAATTGCACTCAGTCAATATTCAGGACGATCAATCATTGGCATTTAGCGAAACCGCTCAAAAAATTTCCAAAATCACCTATACGGCCAGCCGGTTCACACTTTTGACAAGCGGTCGAGTGTGTGAATGAACATTAATAGAGTTACGCTTCAACATAATAACGAATTTATTATGTTAATTTTTTTTTTATAACGATGTGTAATCTTGAAAAGCGTTTGATACGCGCGACATTTCGAGTACTCCTGCAAGCGATGTTCATGAAACGGACTGAAAACAAACGGCAAAGCGATTAAAATTTGCAAAAGAAACTTCTAACAATCAATAAAAGAAATATAATTCGGTGAAACATTTAAAGAGACAGCAATTTTCATTCACGAAGACAAGCATTAAAGTGTCTCTAAAAATCCTGAGTCTTTAAGTTTATGTTTTAAGCCGGCTTCCCGGTGTTTGCTTTTTTCAAAGATGAACTCGAGGCAAGAAAATCGCTCAAAGTTTTCTTTCTACAGGCAAATTTATAACTAAATATTCTTCGGAACGTTTTCTTTCTATTTGCGGTGAGAAAATGTATCTAAAGGCTTTTTAAAGTTCTGTAAGCTTATATCAAACCTGATACTAGGTCAGATCGTTGTCTCAAATCTTACAAACGTGCATAATTAACTTGCCGTATAAACTGTGCTCGACTTCATGAGGTTAGATATAAAAAAACAAACATCAGATACAATAATTATTCAGGCTTACCATTCGAGATGCAGCTCCTGAAAGCTATCAAGTAAGGCCGGAATCGCTTGAGACTTTTAAACTCCCCTTACGTATCACGCAAGGTGAAAAACGAAAACGAATTGCCATCCGAAATCGGATTTCCGACTTTGACAAGCGACGCATGTCTTAGCCAAAAACCCAATAAAGAAACCAGCCATGAGTAAGAGAAGACTCTTGATAGCAGCTGTATTTAATTTTGTGCATCCAGTGGAAAAAGGCATTAAAAAACACAAAACTCTGTCAGCTTCAGCTGTCAAAGTAAACAAGTTTCAAGAGTCTGCATAAATTTTCCGCATGAACTCACCTGTCAAATTTTGACCAATTAGAGCATAAAAACTGGACGTAGAGCGTGACCAACGCGTGACCATGGTAAGAAAAGACTGGCTGAATTTTCGTGTTCGAGGTAAGTTTGAAATCAAAATCTTAATAGTGCTGGGCCATAGTGACATAAACACGACA